GTGAGAAAAGAAAAAATTTATATGTAAAGCACATACAAACACACCACAATGTAATATCATCATAACTCATTACATAAAGAAATATTTACAACCATTTCTATATATCATAATTCTATCAATCATGCATCATCTTTACATCACAATTCTCAATCACACCAATCCATCACATCAAATAATTTGTACTATGTTACGCTCATGCCACCCCTGTAGCATCTCGTGCCCAAGGTCATGCCACGCCAACATAAGTACTAATTGTCACACACAAATCTTGAAATTAACACTATGCCATGCTCATGCCACCTTTGTAGCATCTCTTGCCCAAGGTCGTGCCACGCCGACATACGTGTTAATTGTCTCACACATCCCACATTATGCCATGCTCGCGCCACTGCTGTAGCATCTCTTGCCCAAGGTCGTGCCACACCGACATAAGTGTGAGGAACCACAATCATATCACATTCACATTCAACACAACATTTCATTTCGTGCCAACATACTCACATCATAATTAATTGAACAATTAAGCCATAACGTAGCATTCGCCACATCATGCTATCAATTCAATACTAAAATGGTACATACAATATGTATACATTTGTGCCAATACATCACACAACAGTCCATAACTCAATTCCACATCACAAACACAATATGGATAAGTACACAAAAAACAGTGGTTCACATACCCCTTAAGCAATTCACCATGAATCCACATCTCATCATTATACATATATGAAATAACTCTACAACCTAGGGTCATACTACTTTACACAACTTTTCAATTCACATGATAACACCTTAGAACATCAAAACAACATACGTCTCCCTTTGAAAACTATCAAAGAAAACAACACACAGAGTTATACCCATCCAAATAAGCTCCAACCTATCTCAAAAGAAATATAAGAGGATCATATACAACTCTTATGTAGACATTGAATTCTAAAAAAATCATCTACTTAGCTAAAAATGTCAAAAACCACAATAGATGAAGGAACTTCAATCTCCTCCAAGTAGCTCCATCACATTCATTGGACCCTTCAATTGAATTCAATTCTTAAATCGTCTAAAATAAATTTTAGCCATAGTAGTTTTAACAGGGTTATTACTCTGAACTCAAATTCAACTGATGGTCTTGCTACCACCTATTTTTGGCTCCTTCATGTCACTGAATGAATTCCCCCCAAGAAAAATGCAATAATTAGATGTTAATCTTCTATTCACCAAAGATCTTGCCTAATCAGCATTGATGTAGGCTTCTAAGGTCAAAGTGCCATGCCTTTTGAACAAAATATGGGTTTTTGGGTGAACCAAAAGATTAAGTAATACTATCCTCTAAAAACCAATCCAACCCATATCCACCCCCCCTAAAAGCACTTTTGCATTATTACGTAATGGTTGACAAAAATTTTCAATGAACACCAAATAAGGAAGATTTGGAGTGAAAAGGGCAAAGTATGGAAACTGATGTCATGTGAGTTTTAGGTCTTTGGTTGCTTAAATAACCATCGATGACATCACTATACATCATAGAAGACTAATCTTATGAAAATAACGCATGGAAGCAGACGAAAAGAGATTAAGAGTAAATTACTCATTTTCCTCTCATCAGTTTAGTGGCTTCGGTTATTGCAACATCAGCAGCATATAGTGCCATCTTCTTTATCTATGAACAAGGTATAAGCAAAGCGTAAGAAACAAATCTAGATATAAGTGAATATATAATGCTTCGGTACAACCATCAATTAACGTCCATATAAAGATTAAGAATAGCAAGGTAATTTAGATGATTTAGCCAAAAATTAGCATAGCATGCAAATTATGAGCCATAAAGTTAGCAAGTATAAAATAATTTGTGGAAGGAAACTATAATAACGTGCTCTTGGATCCTAGATGGTAAATGTAGATGGAAAGAATGAAGTCCATAATATTTTACAGAGATTAAATCTTTACCAATATATTTTAAACTATGAAATTTGTACTAACAAGTTCAAAATACGAGGTTATAACATGTCTGGAATCATGCAAACATGTACCTCCAATTTATCTTCCTTAGATCTATGGCCTTTGGGAAGTAACCGAAATTCTTCTGTCAATCGAATGCATTCTTGAACATTCTCAGGTGAAACAAAGTCCAGAGCCACTTTTATGCAAGACTGAGAAAGAAAATAACCGTGTCAAACTTAATATAACACAAAAGTGTCGACATGAGAAACAGTCTGGTACATCAATGAAATAAGAAAAAAGGAAATAGAAGATTGCAAAAACTAAAGCATGATGGGAGGTTAGGCTTTCAAGATATTTTGATTTTCATGTTGGAAGTTTACAATAAGAACGATTTCTTGCCTCTCTATGCCACCAATAGCATTATAGCCATATGACCTAAGTTATTTCAAAACTTCCAGAAGAGTTACTTTCAGATAATAAAGAAAAGTTCAGAATTCATTTGGCACAATACGCTATGGGAGATGATGAATGATGATTAAGGACACCTATGTCAAGTAAGACAAATTCCTCAGACCAGGAGTCATGAGGGAAAAAAAATGCATGTAAAATGTTTATTCATGAATCAATTTTTTTTATTAGTTTAATTGGTTTAAATGATTTTAATAGATACCCAAACAAAAAATCAAAAAACCAGAAATGAATGAGAGAAATGTATGTGATGAAATGATGGATGTTGTATTTAAGGAATATGTAAGAAAAGAAACTCATAAGAGGGAAATCTCCTCTGCCAAGAGCCAAGCTCCTAATAGCGCAACCATAAAGGTTCTCTATCCAAAACAGTAAAAAGTAATAACAGAATTCACCCTGCCCATAAAGTGTGATTCTCTATATATCAAAATATTCTCTCTCTCTCCTCTAACAACCTGGAATATCCCTCATGCCTTGCCAGCATTCTTCTTCTTCCTCCGCTCATACACAATCCACGATTTTGGACCCCTTTTTTCTTCATGGGCCAGTGGTTCTAGTGATCCATGGTGAAATTGGGCCTTATCAGATTCTGTATATCCTCTTCTTTCTTTTCTCTCAAGCTTTCCTCTCTTTCACATCATGAACTTATAAGAGATGTAAACTAGTTTAACTTCTTTGACATTAATAAAAACCAGGATGTTTAACTACCTTCCTATTTCTCACTTGATGGGGGCATCCTGCTGGTATGAAAACAGCCTCCCCAAGGTGTTGCTCAAACGTCCAAGGTTCAACACCTGGTGGGAAAAAAATCATGGCTACAAAATCCACAGAAAACGAATCATTAATTACAGCACAATTTCATACCAAACTCCTGCTTTAATTGCTTTTTATGCTTCTCATTTAAGTAAAGGATCTGATCATGAATGGGGTGAATCACCTGAGGCAAAAAAAAGAAAAAAGTAAAGCATATTAACTCAAACAAAATTACCCAAAACTAAAAGGCATAATCCAGAAAAGGTAGGCAACCATACTGAGTTTACTGGAAGATTATTTATGTGGCGAAATTCTCTGTGGTGTTTCTTTAGGTACTCGGTTAGCTTGGGTACATCCTGCCTCCGGAATATGTCCCACACAGCACTCCCATATTGAGTCTCCAAATGATCATCATTTTGACAAAAATTATTACTTGTGTCATTTTTAACTGACTTTATTTTGTCAACATTGATGTCAGAACCTGGCATGACTAAAGAATTCAATCTATTGGAAAATTTGGTATCTTCTGTTACAGTACAAGGCTGACGGATTTCACTAATGTTTGGATATCCTCCAATATCATTATCAGGATCTTGTCCATTATATTCAACATGAGAGAAGTCACCACCTGTATCTGTCTCATCTTGCACATTGCTAGTATTGTCAGCCCCATTTCCACAAACAGAAAAATAGTGGTGAGAATACTGCTTCTGAGGGAAGAGTAAATCAGAAACATTCTTCCCAGAATAGGAGGGTAACTCCTCAAAATGAACGCTTTTGGTTTCAGATTGTTCGATGTAATTTCTCTGCGGCTCCTCATTTACCCTAACTTGTGGAGTGGGGAGGTTCAAATCAACAAATACAGAACATGTATCAGACATTCGTCCTTTTTCACAATCATCACTTGTGCATGTCTTAAACTGCATATGTTCTGATAAAGAAACTCCTTCAGCTGATGATGAGCACAACTGTTTACCATCTTTTCCCGGAAACATGCAACTGGAATCATGATTATTGAGATCAAAGTGTGGAAGCCTTGAATTCAAATTGAGGACTTCCTGCTCACAAGCATTTAAGCTTAATTTATTTTTCGTAGATTCTGAGAATCCTTGAACACAAGCTTCCTTATCAGATATTGACAGTCCCATTTTTAGGGGTCCACTCTGCTGTTCGTTTTGTTCCTCTTCTTTTCTTTGACTTCCAAGTAAGGAAGAGTGTCTCCCAGTAGCATCTTCTGTTTCCGGAATTTTATGATTCCTGGTAATACTGCAGCACATTTTGCGTTTTCTTCCACGTGAACCAATTGCCCTGTTGTACTTGCCATAGAGTTCTCGCATATCTTCAGCTTCATACTTTTTCTGTAATTTCTTTATGATTCTAGGTTGCCATGGTTGCATCTTTACTTCAGCTGTATGTGTCAGAATATTGACCTGATAATGGCACAGCATGATTACATGAGTGGAAATAGCAAACACTGAAAGAGATGAGAAAGAAGAAAACTTGTATGTGGAATGTGCGACTTTGAACAAGTCACTTCTTTTTTATTTATTGTAAAGAATTAACTTATATTATTTTACATACAACTTACACCAAGTATACAAGTGAAACTACTTATTACCTATCTAACACTCCCACTCAAGCTAGATCACATATATCATATGTACTAAGCCAGTTACATGTGTAACTAATTTGAGCTCCTCTAGAGATTTCACAAGAATGTTCATTGACTGACCATTTAAATTGATAAAACTAGTTTCAGCATATGAAAGAAGCTAAATAGAAGATTGAATTGCTTGAGAAAATTGTCAGGATCCAATAATAACTGACATCAGCAATTGAAGGAAGAAATAAGGAGCAGTAATGTAAGATTGGGATATGCGAGTGTTGGAAGCAGCAGAACCAATAACTGTGAGAATATACTTTTGAAATATTCATGTACATAAGTAGTATCAATCATGTACATTAAAGGAAGAAATAAGGAGCAGTAATGTAAGATTGGGATATGCGAGTGTTGGAAGCAGCAGAACCAATAACTGTGAGAATATACTTTTGAAATATTCATGTACATAAGTAGTATCAAACTATCAATCATGTACTTGGGACGTAGCACTCTTATTCATTGTCTTGTAATGAAAAATATAATTAATTCTTCATATGTAAATGTTCAGCCTTATGAGTGCTTTCTCACAAGAAATTCAGAAACTTCCTCTCTAAATACTATAATATTTTCTCAAATAATCTCAAGTTGGTGCCAAAGCAATTTTGTCCTGCTTCTTCTGTGGTGGTCTCCTGAAGGCCTCTAGTCCATCTAACAAAGCCTTCTTGTATGAGTATATTACTCGGAAGTTGTAAGTTGTCAGTTCAGTTTAACTAATTAGCTTCCTATGGAATCTAGACTATGAACAGCTTCTCATGTAAGCCAAGCTAGGAAGCTTCCTCTGTAAGCTAGTCTGTTATAGTCAGTAGCTTCTTTTGTAAGCAACAGATGGTTAGGATCCTTTTGATAAATACCTAACATGTTATTAGTGACTGTAACTCCATTCAATCAATAAAATTTAGATTACTTTTCTTCTTTTCTCTCTAATATAATACTTCTAAACCCTGTGAGTGTAGTACTCTTTACTGTATTGGTTTAGTTTTAACCTTAGTAATATAACTCTAGTTAGTCGCAACTGTTTCAGTTCATAGTAGTCGATCATGGTTGGAGCAGCCGCTACCGCGGCGCTCTGGAGCAAAGCGGCCCGAGGTCGCAACAGTGATGATGTCGCGTCTCAACTTCATGTCATGGCTGGAGCGGCTGCGTTGGTCGTGTCACGGAGCAGCGGAAATCGTGTAATCACGACACCTTCTTGGACAGATCCTTCATTAAGGGTAAGTCTGTCATTTCACTTGGGTTTTTTTGCCCTAATTCTTCCTTTCTCCCTCTCGTGCAATCTCGCGATTCTGTATTTTCCCTCTCGAGCGAATTGCGAACCACTCTTCTTCTTTTCTTGACTTCTCGAATTCCATCTCCTCTCTCTCGGACACGATTCTCTCTCGGGGATGACGCACTCCGTTTGTCTTCTTCAGGCATCTCTCTCAGTCTCTCTCGACGAGGTCATTCGACGTCTCCTCCGGTCCATCAGATCCGATGTCTCCTCCGATCTATCCCATCTGTCTTCTTCTGTTTTATCTATTTTTATTTTGTCTTCTTCCTTTTTCTTTTCTTATTCTATTTTTTTTATTCTACTAATCTACTTTAGTGCTTCTTATTCTGTCTTCTCCCTTGTTCTTTTGTTTCGTGGCTTCTAATTCAGCTGCTTCCCTATTTCTAATTCAGCAGCTTTTTTTTTTTTTTATTAATTCAGCTGCTTCTCTATTTCTAATTCAACAGGTTATTTTATTTTTTTAATTTCTGATTCTGTTATCTTTTTATTGGGCTATTTTTGTCTTTGATAATCAGTGTAATCATGAGTCAACCAACCGCTGCTGGAATTGAAACTAATCCCAATTTTAGTCCCACAACAGAAATGTTTAAGCCCATTGGTGATAATATTGATGTCTTTTGGAAGTCGAACACTGTGATTTTTGTCTAAAAACATCTAACGAAGGAATTATTAGAGCAAAAAAACATCAACTTGGAATAAAAGGCGATGTAGGTGCTTGTAGAAAAATTCCTGAGGATCTAAAATTGGAAATGAAGGCTACCTATGAGAGTAAAAAAATTGACTCAGAAGTATAAATGGAGTGTGTGGATGAAAATGAAGAGGAGGATGACATCCAAGCCATTGCTGGAATTAAGAGACCTTCATCCACATCAAGTGAAGCCACTTTTGTTACCAAGAGGAAGGGTATAAATGTCGAAGGTCCCCATGATTTGCACTTTACTAGAAAGCTAGAAGAAAGTATCAAATTGAATAAGGGCTTGAGGCAAACAAGTTTAAATGATGCTTGTAATAAGGAAGCAAGAGCAAGGGTAATTCAATATATTGCTCGCTTTTTTTATTGGAATGGAATTGCATTCAATGTTGCTAGATCAAAGAGCTTCAAATTGATGGTTGAAGCTATTGGCATCTATGGTTCCCATTTAAGGACACTAAGCTACCATGAATTAAGAGTGTCACTCCTTAAAAAAGAGTTGGAATACACCAAGGGCTCATTGAAGGGCCATGAAGAGGAGAGAGTAAAATATGGGTGCTCAATTATGTCTGATGGTTGGACAGATAGGAAAAATATGGCAGCGGATGGCGACGGACGATTGCAAACGACAGAGCGGGATCGGACCCGCTCTGATACCAACTTGAATGTTATGATGGTTCTGAAAAGTGTTTTTACTCACTTTCTTCATTACTAGATTGAGTATATAAAAACATACAAGATAGGCTGAAAAAGGCTAAGAGCCTAGGACTTCAGAGAGCCTAGGACTACTGATCAGACATACAAAAGAAAAAATAATACTAAATACAAAAGCTTACCTAATAAGCTATTCTAATAGTACGTGTGTTGAGGTTGATAGATATTGAAAAAAAACTGGCAATGGGTTACATTTATGAAGCAATGGAAAGGGTTAAAGAGGCAATTCAAACTTCTTTTAATCATAATGAAGAAAAATATAAGGATATATTTGCAATTGTTGATAGAAGATGGGATTGCCAGCTCCATCATCTGTTGCATGCAGCAGGATATCATCTAAATCCTAAGTTCTATTATAAAAATGCAACAAAAATGTATGTTGATGAAGTGGTGGATGGCCTTTTAAAATGTATTGATAGGCTTAGTGAAAATGATGACATTGTAGACAATGTTCACAATGAATTGACAATATATGAAAGGGCAAGAGGAAGATTTGGCATTCCTACAGTAGTTAGAGCAAGGGTTAAAATGGCTCCTGGGAAGTGAGACTTTTCTTAAGCCTTAACTTCACTTACAAATGTTATAGTTATTTGATAATTTATTTATATAATAATATTTGCATTTATAGCTGAGTGGTAGAAGATGTATGGAGGACATACACCACATTTGCAAATTATTGTCATTAAGGTACTAAGCTTGACTTGTAGCTCATCTGGTTACGAGCATAATAGGAGTACCTTTAAGCATGTAAGTTAATGAATTAATGGATTTAAATTTGAGTTTACAATTGAAAATGGAAAATTAACTAACCTTCATGTTCTTAGAATTATTATAGATTCACTCAAAGAAGAGAAGTAAGCTTGAGCACCAAAAACTTTAAGACTTGGTTTTTATTAAATATAATCAAGCTCTTCAAGAACGCTTTGAGTGTCAAGATGCAACTGATCCAATTGCTTTAAATGAAGTTGATGATAACAATGAATGGATGTTGGGAGAAGAAAATGAAGAGGATGATTTTGAAGATGACTTAGTGTTTGATGATGATGTTTTGACATGGAGAGATGTTGCCTAGGCAAGTAGTGCTGGTGAACCTTTGAAATACACTTAGAGTTATTTCTTTTGTTTTTTTAGCTTTTATATATATATTATTAATTATTTAATATATAAATTAATATTAAAATAGCGGTTATCCCGCTCCGCATCATCTTGCTATCCCACTTTTAGGGTCGACCGCTCCGCTCCGCTATCCAAGATTGACTACTATGTTTCAGTTACACTGTTGTAACTGTTTCTATACCCGAGTTGTATAAATATATCTTGTAACAGAGGCTCGATCATCTTTTTCATTTTCACAAACAGCAATAGAATACATAATATATTTTCTCTCTAATATGGTATTGGAGCTTTCTGATCCTCTTCCATGACTTACGTCCTAATCGAAGAAACAAATACAGTAAAGAGTAATACACTCACAAACCTTGAACTCCTATCCTCTGGTTCGTCCAAACATGCATGTGGCAAAAGTTGAATTTAGAGCCATGGCACAAGGCATTTGTGAAGGGATTTGGCTTAAACCGATGCTGGAAGAAATTAGAGTTCCTAAAAATTATACAATGAGGATCTTGTGTGACAACAAAGCTACCATAAGTATTGCAAAGAACTCTGTCCACCATGACAGAACAAAACATGTGGAGATTGATCGACACTTCATTAAGGAAAAAATTGATCACAATATAATAAATGTGGATCATGTACCATCATGTAGACAGACAACAAACATTCTAACTTAGGCACTGCCAAGGAACACATGAAAGCGTCAAATCCAATCTAGGTATGATAGACATCTACCACCCAGATTGAGGTGGGGTGTTGAAAATAGAACAAATCAAATCAGAATCTAATTTTGATTATGTACAACTTACCAGAATTAATTGTGATTAGAATTTGTATTATTCCTAGTTTTCGTTATTATTTAGCCATAGCATTTATAAGGATAATTATTCCCTTGATTTTTAGGCTAGATTAATGTACATATTTATTTTCCATTTCCTATTTATTCCCCTACTGTATCAAGTATGATCGAGAAATATAATCCATATTTCCGCATTAGCGCGCGTGCACACACACACAATATATATATATATATATATATATATATATATGACTCCTAATATTAACATATGCTCTATTATATAATTGAGACGAATTCCTTCATACGTTTTATTGTTATCCAACTTAAGGAAGAGTGTTAAAATTAGGTACACACTAAATATGTTGCAATAGGAAAATTTACAATGATTAGTAGTGATTTCTATCATATTGATAGGGTGTGATTGCTGCATTTGTACAGTTTCTTTACGGTAAACGTTTATCAAATAGATAGACATAGATTCTTGTATGCACTAAGACACAAATTCAACAAACATTCTAATTCTATAATGGAGATTAATGAAAGACTAATTATGAGCAACACATCCTAAAGTTTGAACAGAAATAGATCTCTATAACATACCGAATTCCATAACTTACCGCATCAGAAATGTCACAATGTAGTTTTGTCACAGAATCACCTCTACTTAGTTCTTCAAAAGATCCATAAGCAATGTATGTTTTTGGGCCCAAATCTGGCTTCAAAACAGCAGGAAGCTTTGTGGCAAGATTTAAAACACCAGATTTGGGATGGGTATAATCACTTAAAGGAAGCATAGCTACAAACTCAGCACCATGCCTTGGCAAACAATCTTCAAAAGAATTTGATGGTGGCCAGTCCTTTAGCTTCAGCATCTCTGGCCATCCATTCCTGTACCTTCGACCTTCCAAGTAGCCTTTGAAGAACCGAAAGATGTTAATTTCAACCTAGAGCACCATAAAGAACACAATATTTGTTAGTTCATAACTACAATAGATTTTTCCTATCAAAAACTGAAAAATAGGTCAGTTAATTGTTGTTTGATGACCAACCAGGAGTATACTGGATGACTTTTTATGACTTTATAAATATAACTTCCTTTTCCTGAACACTTAAAAAATAGTTGAGTATGAACCATGGATCACTTGGGTGTAGAAAAGGCATGGGGGTAGTATAGACAAACAAATGAGAGACAAGCATTTGTATGGTTGAGTAGAATTGTTGTATATTAGGCATAATGTGACCAAAACTCTTTACATGAGTAAAACTATATGCAATTGTGCACATCAATGAAGCCAAATAAAAATGATTTTTATTATAACACAAACTATTTGGTTAATAACAAATTGAGATAATTATCATGAATCTAATTTTGTATTTTCATGATTAATTTGCCCATGGTAACATCAAAGCTATTATATGCGATGCCATACATCAAATGCATAATGAAAAATAAGAAATAACAAAGTAGTGGAAAACTCTATCTCAAAAACCAAACATGCACCTCACACCAATCCAAGCAGTCAATGGCTTTAAAAGTAGCTGCCTCCTCTTTCAATATCTTCTTTGCCCCCCTAAAAGCCCTCCACATCACCATTGGATTCCAGCTAAGGCCGCTACCCTTTTCAAAAACATTCCTAACTATAACAGGTTCACCTCTGATCCAGTGTCTTTGAAAATGCTCAAATTCCGTGTCTCCCATTTTGACAGCATCTGGGCAATACAAAAAGTTACCATAACTGATTTCCCTGGAAGCCGCCTTCCTTACAAAATTCTGTACTGCATCTTCCTCAAAACTCTGGCACATAGAACATCCAAGAGATAGATCAATATTAGGTGGTTGATATTTGATAGTAAGTTCCTCCACATTCTTGATCAATTTCTCAACCCAATTAGCTTCAAAAAGGCGCTTTAGTGAAAGAATAGTAGTACCACACACTCCCCTTGCTTTTGGAGGGCAAGGAATCCCACCATTTATCTCTGCTCTCCAAGCAGAAGTTACAGGTGGTGTATCATCTGCTCCTTCATTGCCACTTGCAGGAATTTCTTCACATTGAAGTCCAATTCTTGTTTCCATGCAACAAGCGAGACAAAGATCATACTGACAATCAGGATTGGGACAACTTCTGTGGAAATTGACGATTGATGTATTGCAGTTGTCACTGTAATAAGAAAGTCAATAAATTTGTAAAAGAAAATTATTAAATATATTAGATTAAGGAAAATAAACAAGAGAAGTCAAATTTTGCAAACTTATACCTACAACTTGTATGTAGGGATGTTAACAAGACGGGGCAAGTACAAGTAGTAGCCTCCCGCTACCTGCCCCATCAGAAAAATATCCATCTCGTACTCGTCTCCATATTCGTGTGGGTATCATTAAGCAGTTACTGACGTATTTTTCAATATCCGTGGTATTTATTTTAAAAATAAATAAATAAAAAAATTTTCAAAAACATTTTAATAATATTTTCTATTTATTCTAATAATTTCTTTAAAAATAATAGTTTAAAAGTCAAAACTTAATTATTTAAATATTATAATTAATTTTATTAATCAAGATTCTTCAATTTAAAAACTAAATTTAATTGTTTAAATACTTTATCTCCATAAGTTTAAACAAATTTAATATATAATTATGTAATTAAATAGTAGCAGATACCCACAAGTACGGATACAATGATACTCGTACCCGTCCCGTTAACATGTGGGTATATAAAATACTCGTAAATACCCATTTACAATATTCATTTTCTACACATAGCAGATTTTATCCAAAATATCCATGGGTACGGATTTTTTTGACACCCCTACTTAAGTGAGATAGATAAGAAAACTCAAGTTAAAGCCAAAATTAATTCAGATGTGAACCTATCCAAGTAATTTCACAGATCCCTATGCCAAAACAAAGAATGTGGGGGATGAAAGCACTGATACTTCACAATTATCTTATTCAAAAATTAGCTTCTCTTGCAGTAGGTTTTGGCATATATTTTTACGAAAATGAAAATTAGCCTTAGTAAACAATGTACAAACAGAAAGGGAAAAAGAGTGAAAAGGGCTACGACATCAATGCATATTCAAGTATCAGAAGAACTTCAAAAGCATATGCCCTGGAGAAACAGAACATAGTCTCTTAAACAAAAGATTCTGGAAATAAAACCTCCATTTGAACACCTATTGTACTGCATTCAGCCTGTCAGCCAAGTCCTAGTTAAGGCACAGAAAACCAACTACTTTGTGATAAGTTTCCATGATCGGTTCTAGTTTTACTTGTTAATACAAGCAAACATACATTTTCTATTCATTAGATTACTATATCTCAATCATACATTTAGAAGAATAAACTAATCCACAAATACACACATCAGAAATAAAATGTATAATAACAGGAACTTTATTTTCAACCATGTGGGTTTATGAGATAGTACCAATAAACACGCTCATTATCATCAATTAGTGAACGCACAACTTCTTCTTCCAGCAGTTGCGAACCTGAAAGGTCACATTATTGTACATTTGAAATCATGAGTCTACTAAGTTGATTCAAAACTATAAATTTATAACTAAATCAGAGTACCATGCATGCTAGCTTCTACTTCCAATTCTGATCTCTGCTCCAATTGGATATTTTGGAGTAAAGGCAGAATTTTGTCAAGCAAGTAAAACAACTTTTGTAATTTGACTTCTGTATCTGCTTCACCAGTCCCAGTCTGTGGATTAATAATCCATTTCACACTAAGTGCAAAAGACAATACATATGTAAATAAACCATAATAGAATCTAAGAGAAAGAAAACACACACCACTACTGATATATCCTCCTTCAAGCACAATCGGCAGTTGCAATTACCAAGACAAAAGGGACAAGCTGTTTCCATCTCCTCTCTAGTTTTATCTGGGTACCTACATTTTTTAAATTCATATATCATCAGAACAGAACTAGTTTGAAATCAACAACTAAATTAGAAATTCAAAATACTAACTGATGTTGGTAAAGCCATACTCTTACTAACTACTAATAAAGCTAATTTTTTTATTCAAACCATTTTCATTGGATATGTGATAGGAGAAGAAAGCCTCATAGGCCCAATGATCAGGGTGAAGGCCTTAAAGTTTATAAGAACAAAGAAGTGAGGCAGCATGCTAATGAGGAGAATTCAGTTGAACAAAGAGAGAAAATAACAGACTGCGAACAGGTGGTACAGAGGGGTTGGGAGGAGTCATAATGGTAATCATTTGTAAGGCTTGAGGGAGGGACTCGTTCCTACCATTATTCTCATTCCTGTTTTAGCTCTCTATTGCAAGCTTATTCTTAAATATTAGTCTCAAATTGTAAGGAGTGATCTCCATTTTTCAATCTTTCTATTTCAATCAGTCTGGTACATATCAATATGCCAAAACTGATACTTAACCTTAGGGTAATTCATTGGAAAGTAGAAACCTGGAAATAAAATAGTTCAACTTTACCATTTTGTTATGCACTCATAACAATATCGCTTTCTCTTGCACTTGGTACAAATGACAATACCATTCCTACTTTTTTGCCAGCACTGGTGGCACCTTAAAGTCCTTGCGTCCTTTTTCATTCCAGTATCACCCTACAAACAGAAATTAGAACAAATAAATTCAAATTTGGATTTTCAGGAAAAGAATGAAATTAACAAATAAACATATAAAGTACGAAAGATAATCAACCAGTGCTATTGACTTAACAAAATCTCTAACAGAAAGATGTAATGAATGTCATTGTACAGGCTTCAGTTGACATTGCAGATATCAAGTTGAATGTATAATAATGTAACTTTAAAGGGTAACTCACCTTCAAAGCTGAAGATTCCAATCCATGGTATATAGATTCTTCCCCTCCAACATCCTGAAAATTCTTTTCATCGATTACCAATGCTTTCAGTCTTTCACTGGACCTTCTCTGATCATTGCTGGTTTTACAAGTCAGTCCTGCTCTTTTTATCTTTTCATTTCCAGGATCCTCTGAGCTTTCAAGGAGAAAACCTGACTTCTTTACCTCATTCACTTGATCTTCTAGCATTGAAATGCATTCCTCCTGTACATGCTTCTGTGGCATAATCCTACTCAAAACTTCGCTGAAACGAGTACTTTTCTGTTTTTTTAAGGGTTGTCCTCTCACATTTGTAGGGGGCCTGTGTGTTAAACCATTTGGCTCATTCTCATCTGCTATAGCATTGGCAGCTGGTGTCTGTTCTTTTAGACCTCTTGATTGGCTTTGGCTAATACTTTGTCTTGTAATTCTAAAACTTCTTTGTTGGTTATAATTTCTTTTCTTTTGATCAATATCATTTATGGAGGCAAATTCAGTAGAAGTTCTTCCTTCTTTCTCATCTACAAGACCATGCCTTTTAATCTGTGAATTAAAATGGTAAGAAAACTCCTTTTCCTTTCTATTAGAGCCCTTAGGCCTGCCACGCTTTTTTGCCCCCTTGTCAAAATGGTTTCTAGCTTCTCCAGGCATATTTTTATATCTTGCAATCTCACCTGCCACTTCCTTACTAGAAGCACACACAACAGTGCACCATTTCTTTGTTGAACCTTTTGGTCTACCACGTTTCTTCAGTCGTGTGATCTCGCCAGCACCAGCAACTTCATTATTAACCTCACCAATCTTCTGTATTTTTTTTGAACCTTTTGGTGGTCGACCACGTTTCTTAGGTCCTGCAATATCACCACGACCAGCAACTTCATTACCAACCTCAACAACATTCTTCATTTTATTTTTTGAACCCTTTGGCCTGCCACACTTCTTAGGTCCTGCAATCTCACAAACCAACACAACATTATTCTTTCTTCCTTTTGAACCTTTTGGTCGACCAAGCTTCTTGGGGACTGCAATTTCACCGGCACCAGCAGCTTCATTACCAACAACATTTTTTATTTTATTTTTTGAACCCTTTGGCCTGCCACGCTTCTGAAGTACTGCAATCTCACCAACAAATTTATTACCAACCAAAACCACAATCTTCTTTCTTCCTTTTGAACCTTTTGGTTGACCAAGCTTCTTGAGTCCTGCAATCTTTACGTAAAGTTTATTACTTACATGAAAAGTATTCTTTTTATTCCCGGAACCTTTTGGTCGACCACGCTTCTTTATCCTCTCAATCACACCCAGGTCTGCATCTTCATCACCAGCCTTATCTTCCTCACCAGAAAACAATGGCCTTTCAGACTCTAAAACTGTGGTAGTACTTGTCTTATTTGAACCCTTTGGTCGACCACGCTTTTTTGGCCTCACAATCTCACCGTCTGCGCCTTCTTCACCAGTGTTATCTTCCTCGCCAGAAAACAATGGTCTTTCAGACTTTAAAACTGAGACATTACCCATCCAACATGAAACCTTTGGTCGACCACATTTCTTTGTCCTCACAATCTCACCCCAACCCGCACCTTCATCACCAGCCTTACCTTCCTCAACAGAAAACACTGACCTTTCAGGCTCTAAACCTGTGACATTATTCATCATATTCAAACCTTTTGGTCGACCACGCTTCCTTGGCCTCACAATCTCACCTAGGCCAGCACCTTCATCACCAGCCTTATCTTCCTTAAAAGATCTTTCAGACTCTAAAAATGTGGCATTAGTCATCCTATTACCCATTGGTCGACCACGCTTCTTTGGCCTCATAAACTCACCCAGGCCAGCACCTTCATCACCTGCCTTAGAGACAGACTCTAAAACTGTGACACTACTCACCCCAGTTGAATCCTTTGGTTGACCACTCTTCATTGGCCTTACAATCTCATTGAGGACTGCACCTTCATCAACAGCCTCAGAGACAGACCCTAAAACTGTGACACTACTCGTCCCATTTGTTCCTGCTTCATCATTTGCACCAACAGTTTGTCCATTCAAAGTGGTGTGAATCTGTTTATCTTTATTTTTGGAACCATTAGGCCTACCTCCTTTAGCAACTGGCCCGAAGGCTACAGCTTTTGCATCTTCACTGGTGGCAACTCCTCCATCTAATAATCGTTCCATTCCCTCTTCATCACCTACAACAATCATCTTGCTACTTGATCCTGTGTCCCCATTCTGTTGCCTGCCATTTAACACAGGCACATCTATGCTACCAAATGTTTCTCCTTCAACTTTACCGTGCCCACCTGGATTTACCGCACACCCAACAACTTCTTCACCTCTAAACTCAAATGCATTTTCACCACTCAACCCCGGGCCAACAGGAGCTGAAAAGTTGGGCATGGCTCTATCAGAGCCAACGAAAATCACATCTTCCTCACAGCCCCCACCTTGACAAAGAAGAGCTTGAAAACCCTGATCATATAGACTACCAAAATCAGCTTCAACCATTAGCCCTTGTAGATCTTCAGAAGAAAGGTCCAGAAAGTCATTTTCACAAATATGTACACCACCCGCACTTGCATGGCCTCCCTGAACAGCATCAAAAACCCCACCAGTACTTCCATTGCTCCATGGCTCACCTAGAACCTGCCCTTCAACCTGACTCAAATTCCCAAACCCTCCCCCAAAATCACCCAGGTTAACGTGCTGACCCCCTCCTTCACCCCAAAGGTCAAAACTCTCAAAACCTAAACCAAGATTCACCCCATCATTATGCCCTTCATCAACATGGGGACCACCATTGTGATCATCAAACAACTCTTTACCCCCATCACCCACAACCCCATTTTCCAATTCGCCTTCAGGGTTTTTTCTTTGTTTCATTCTTCTTTTCTGGCGCACACCAACACCCCCAGAAGCATTTCTCTTCTTCCCACTCTTGGTTCTCTGTTGCATGTACAGATAATGCCTCTCACAGTGATTTCTTCCACTCATAGCCCCCTCCTTGCACCTCCAACCGGTTGATGATCTTCTATTGCACCTCCTGAACACATTTTCTTCACCTGGATCATCCATTATCGAACACCAAAATGACAAGCGGCAACTGTTGAAACTCTAACTCTTAATCATTAACATGAAAAGTGGGATGATGCTAGGGAACGAGTAAAGAAACAAATTAAGGGGATAGCATAGCACTAGAAGAATGAGAGATGACAGAGGAAAACAGTGTTTAAAGGGAAA